AAATAAATAAAATGACCCCTGGTATCTCTGTAATACACTGGAGAGCCACTGCTCAGTTTCCCGGATCCTCACTTTTGTTTTAAATCAACCTAAACAAGATCCTCCCATTCTTCCTATTTACCTCTGAGGTTCTCATCTGTGTTTCCTGTGGTGGTTCGATGCAGAGGTTTGATCAGGGCTGGGTTCGTGTGTGTGCTGGCGGGACTCCGCACTTCCTTCCTATGGGGGATGCCTGGCGCCTGGGGTGGTGTGGAGGCTGTCCAGTGCTGGCGACTGGGCCGGACATCCCTGAGGAGCCCCCCAGCTCCACGCACGATGGGGGTGCAGCCCCTGGGACACTCCCTTGGTTCCCAGAAGCCCCTCAGAGACCCCGCCCCCCGGCCCCCGCGAAGACGAGGAGGCCCCAGCTCAGGTGGCAGCCCACCCTCTGGAGGCAGGTGTCTGACTGGTAAGTGCACCACGATTTCCAGCGCGGACGCCGAGAGCAGAGTCTGTCGAGGAGGGTCCCGTGCTGCCGGAAGGCCACGCCAGCGACGGGACTGGCCCATCGCCGCTGAATCCAGCACCGTGGGAGTCTGTGCACAGAGGCAGCCTGAATGCGGCAGTGGGGGCAGGAGTTGGAATGAAATGCGTCGAGGAGTGAGTGTGGACAACTTTTTCAACCAGTGGGCCTGGTCAGGGGAGGAGAAAGGACCCGGCTCTCTTCACATTTTGTTCCCCTCCCCCCCCGCACCATGGGGACAGATGAGAGTGTGTCTAGATGCTGATGGTTGGGAGCCACAGAGAGGTTGAAGGGGAGGGAAGAGGCACTAGACAGAGAAAGACCCAGCCCGGAGCGCACAGATGGCGTTCCGATGGCCCATCTGCTGTAGCGGGAAGGAAGGGGAAAGGGCCGCGTGAATGTGCGTCATTCCGTAGGCTCCGCCTGAGAGGGGGCAGCAGTTCTCCGATGAGGCTGACTGCCTACAGAGGAGGGGCAGGGCCTTATGCACTGGAGAGCCAGAGGTGGGGGTGAGGCGGGACCTGGTGGCTTTGAGGACCTCGCTGCTGTGGTTCCCAGGGGCCTGCAGCCCTCTGGTACAGGGGCACAGCTGGGTTCATCCCAGGGTCCCTGCTGCTGGGACCCAGAGGCCAATGAGCGTGGGGGAGGGGCTGTGACGAGAATCCTGATCCGGAGCCCAAGTGAGGCTGAAGAGGACCCCTTCGGTGAAAGATCCCAAATGGTGGGTGATGGAGGGTCAGGGGTCAGGGGTGGCCGCGGAGGTCACATAGAGAAGAACTCGGAACCGTGGGGGTTGGACAGGTGCCTATATGGGATTTGCTCTGCCCAGTCCCCCTGCCCAGTGGTCAACCTGCTCTCTTACGACACTGTAGCTCTGCACAGCCCTGATGGGAGTCAGCACCACGAGCCCCCATGGCACTGCTCTGCTTCACGGCTTGCGGCTGCCGAGCGTCCATATCTTCCGGCTTTCAACTGTGGTAGATT